AAATAATATATTAAAAATGTATTTTTTTTTATGTTTTAAAGTATTTATTCTTAACTGGATAGTTAATTGATCGATGAATATGTATTTTTTTATGTTTTAAAATGCTTTGGGTGCGATCTTACGATCCGATTCGATCTTATGATTACGATCTTGCAAAACAAAAAACGATCCTATATATGATCTCGATCTTAACAACCTTGTTCCAAACTGCAACACTATAAATATTTATTAATTAATAAAACAAATTTCTAAATAAACTTATGAAACATAAGCAAGCAAGTCGGTAAACTAAACTATTGCATCTTCTATCCTCCATAATAAATGAAAATAATTTTGCCACTTGTCAATCTTTCATGAGTTTTGACACTTGTCAGTTTATAATATTTTTAAAATATATAATATCCACATGTCAATTTCTAGGTTTTCAATTTTTAAAATTAAAAAAGCCACAAAATACTTATATACTTATTTATTATATATATGTAAAGTATTAAATGTAATAAATGTAATAATAAGTTGCAATTAATACGTTTCTTCATTTTTTATTTTAAAATTTTATTTTAAAAAAATACTTATTATTTATATTTTGATATTTAATTTTTTTTAATCAACCCGTGTATTACACTGGTTTTACACCTAGTGTAGTAGTAAATAAAAGTCGTGAGTTTATTAATAAAAGCATTCATAGTTTTATAATAATTTTTTTCTCAAACAAAAACAAATTAACTTCAATTTTATACGATCATTGAACATTTTGAAAAGTTATATTATAAAAGTCCCTCATCTAAATTTTCCATATTTTACACAAGCATCACTTAATTTTCTTTGTAATGAAATGTTACACGAAAAAAAACATTTAATTAAAATAATATATAACGGTATAGAAACTAACTAAATTAAATGAGTATTTAAAAAAACACAGTATCACAAAAACCCAAAACTAAAAACATAACTTTCTCCAAGGGGAGCGGTCCAAAAATACGAAAGATAATAAATTGTTACATACTTATAAGAAATACTAAATATATTATATTATAATTAAAAATTTAATATTTAACATCGAACATTAAAATGAAATATTATTTAATATTTATAAAAAATGGTAATAAATAAAAAAGATCTAAAGTTTAACTATAAACTTAGGAATACAATGCATTTGGGTTAGTTGGTTGAATTAAATATCAAAGAATTTAATTCATATTGAATGGTTGAATTATTTGACAAAAATATGCATAGTTTCCAATACTAAAATGCTAGTTTTGATGTGGATTTTAAATATCCAATCTCTATATCGATTTCTAATTGGAGATGCTCTAAGTATTATTATATGTTATATATACATGGAATATCTGTAGCCAATCGAGGTTCAAAGTTGTGACCATTACAGACGACAACCGCATCGAATTCCTCTACCTTATTCACCCCACTTGTTTTTGACTCGACCACAAACTTGGTGATCCCCGAGTCTATTACCTCAACTTGGGTTACCAACGTATTAAACCGAATCAATTTGATAAGTTCAAAATTATTTGCAAAATCTTCCAAGAACATTAGAACTTCGTTGTGGCATGGAAACATTCTCGCATCTCGATATATTTTCTCACTAAATTTGAAATCGGTGAAACTCATGAGCTCACGAGGAAGATTCGTGCACAAAGAGTTGTAAAGAGATCCATGAACAATATCTCTATTTGGGTCGAGTCCAAGAAGATCGGATTCTACTCGTGGATCATAGGCCCAATTTCCACCAAGTTGGTGCGACTTTTCAAACACCACAACTTGGTGGGATTCTCTTTGAAGCTCACGAGCAGCCGTTAGTCCAGAGACACCAGCACCGATTACAGCCACCTTTAAGGAAGTTGCCATGGCAGATAGCTCTTTGTTCTTCAAGTAGAAACGTTTAAGAATTACTATAGGCCATGTATATAAAGGCTTTATTGGTCAATTACCAAAGTAATTTCCAACATTGAGGAGTCTACAAAGTTGGACTAACATATTTTAGACAATCTTAAATCCTTATTATATGAAAAGGAGTTGAAGGCTAGAAAAAGTCAGTTTATTATATTTTAGTCTTTATTTTATTCTATTATGTATATGTATATTCGTTAACTTGTCACAAAACTCCAAATGCTTAGAAAACTATTTCATAAAATATAGGATTATAGATAATTGTTCGCTGTCTGTGATGATGGCCCACTCAATCTCTGGACCATCGGATGCTAGAAAAACAAATTAATTGGAAGTATCTCGTGGTGTCGAAGTAAATGAGATATACAAAGTTCTTGATTAGCTCGTTTTATGAGTAGGAGATCATGATATATTTTTTAATATTATTTTTTAGAAATGGTTATTGGTTAAACTTAGCCTTTTATTCATGTAAAAGTTATTCAAAGAAACATTTTTGACTTGGCCGACTAAAGTTAGAAGTAGAAGGTTTGCTAAGGCAAAGGGTTTGTAGAGCTTACCATAGACCTTGCCTAAACACTTCCTCACATTAGTTATCAAGAGCAGTTCCTCAACATGGCACCTCATGAGCTGTTTAATAGTCGCTGACTGAGTCAGATCTACCGGGGAACTAAGTTCAGAAGCACTTCGCAGATGTTTAGAAAAATCTACCGGTGAACTTTTACCAACATAAAGATAAACTGGATTTATATATCTTGGATTGAAACATATACATATCATTATATAGATAAAATAAAACAATCTCAATGATATATTCAAATTTATACTACATATTACATAATAAAATTTATATAAAAAATCAAACTAACCTTTAACTAAGTATAATAGAAAATGTTTTTTTACTATATTATGTGTTATAATAGATAAACTTAATTATAAAACACTTAAACTTATTTGGATAAAAAAAAAATCATCACCATCATACACATGGACCATAAACTATATGTAACGAAATTAGAATAAATCGTCATTATCCACATCCAACCCTTTAAAATAAACGGAGAAATCAAACGTAACTTTCATAATAACGTAAAGAACCCAAAACCAATAAATACAACAAGATAAGTATTAGAAATCCAAGAAACATATAAAAACGTTAGAATATTTTACACAATTATTTATTATTGGTCAAGTGGGGTCCACTCTATTCGAAGATCCATTTCACCGGATTCAACATTTTGGAGTTTTAATTTAACCTCTTGTATGACTTTCCCATCGATAATATTGACAATGCTATCTTCCAAAAGTGCATTATCATGTGATTTTAGCCATTTTCCAATTTGCATATTTTCTAATATTCCCGCATCCCCAAATGCCATTGCGGATGTTATTAATGGCATAATATAAATTTCCGCTTCCCCCATTATATCATCCGCTGAAAATGTATCGTGATCAAACACTTGCTACATTCATTGAGGAAACATTTTATTCATTTCCCACGTCAGCAAAAAATATGAATAAAAAAAAATATAATTTAAATTATATAGTTACCAGTTTAACAGGCCCGTAATTCTGAGGAACAGAAAGCATAAGCTCCTCGTTCCAAACTGGATTCAAGTTGCTATTTCTTACAGTTGTTTGTGCCTTCTATTTCAATTAATCCAGCCAAAATAAATTAATTAATTAATTAAAATATAATATTATTGGTTTAAGAGTAAATTTCATGAATGGTCCCTATGGTTTATGGTAATTTGCGCGTTCGGTCCGTGACTTATTTTTTTAACTCGAAAGATCTTTACTGTTTGTTTTTGTTACGCGCTTGGTCCCTATCTTACCTAAAAAGACTATTTTGCCCTTGATTTTTTAATTTATTTAAATAAACACACCTCCAACCCCACCCCCCTCATCTTACCTTACCTACCCCACCATTTTTCCCTATTTAAATAATAATTTTTTTTAGGTAAGACAGGGACCAAGCGCGTAACAAAAACAAACAGTAGGGACTTTCCGAGTTAAAAAAATAAGTTAGGGACCAAATACGCAAATTACCCTAAACCATAGGGACCACTTGTGTAATTTACTCTTGGTTTAAGGAAACATAAGAAACCACTCTATGTGAAAAGTATCAAAAAGAAAAGAAAATTTATATTCTATTTAGCCACTTATGTAGTGATTGAAACATTATGCTTTTGTTTACTTTTTTTTTTAATATATTTTTGCAAGGTACTTTTATAATTTATCGATTTAGCCACTGTTAATCTTATAAAAGACCTTAATTTTTGTGTTTTTTTCCAAGATTAAACCTAAACTTTAATTTTTTTTCCTGAAAAAAAAAACATGCTTTTTCAACTTGTCCGAAAAAACCCTCAACTTACCTTTCTTTCCAAAAAAAACCCTCAACTTTCAAACTGTTTCCGGAAAAACACTCAACTTTTTTAGTTTTGTACAGAAAAACCCTCACATTTTACAAGTTTTTTCGGATCAAAAAATGAAAAAATCTAAGGTCTTTTTCAGGAAAAAATAAATAAAGTTGAGGTTTAATCTGGATAAAATACAAAATATAATGTTTTTTATGAGATTAACCCTTATTTTAACACTTTTTAAAACCAGGAAAAATGGTTTTTGAGTGGTCAAAAAATGTATAATGATTTAATCACTACAAAAATTTGTTAAGTGGTCAACTCAATAGAATGCTAAAAAGTATATATCTTTTAATAGTATTTTAAATATTATATATGGATTAATCTCATAAAAGACCTTATTTTCGGAAAAGTTTCACTTTAGTCCCAAAAAAGAAAATTGAACATAAAAGTCCCGATTATTTTATTTTGGCTCAAATTAACAAAAAAGTCATTTTTTTCTTTTAACAGGAAATGACATATTATCGTGTAAAATCAAATAATCGGGACTTTTTTGTTCAAAATTTTTTTTGGGGGACTAAAGTGAAACGTTTACAAAAATGTTGGGACTTTTCTGACAATTTCCCTTTTTTTCCAAAAAAATTGCAAAATGTGAAGGTTTTTTAAAAAAAAACTAAAAAAATTGAGGGTTTATTTGGAAGCAGTTAGAAGGTTGAGGGGTATTTTAGGAAAAAAATACAAAGTTGAGGGCTTTTTCACAAAAAGTGAAAAACTACAAGGTCATTTTTAGGCAAAAAATAAACTTCAGGTTTAATCCAGAAAAAAAAAAAAAAAAAAAACACCCACACACACACACACAAAATATAAGGTCTTTTATGAGATTAACCCTATCTTTTAATAGTACTTTGAATATTGTTTATATCTATATTTTTAATTTTCAATTTATGGCAGGGGTATAAATGGAAACTGACCTGTTGTCCTAAAGTAAGGACAACATATGGATCACTTGAAAGCATGTCACGAACAGCAAGATTTTTTCCTCTTATCACTGTGATTTTCAAGACTCCAATGAATTCCACCATGCCTTTCTGTCATTATTTTTTAATAATCATAAATATAGATAAAATAATAATTCATTGGAAAAAATTCATAAATATATTATGACATGTATAAGTTTTTAATAAACTTACATTACTTGGAACATTGTCCATAATCTTTCTTGATAAACTTGATTTTAGAGAGCTAGAATTACTTGATGAGATCCTTAAACTTGGTTTCAAGAAATCTTGAAGCTCATACTTTGACCTTCATGGAAAATGGTCAAAGATTGAGTTGACCAATATAGATAAGACACCCATAATAGAAACCCATTAAAAGTTTATAACCCACATAAGATTAGGGAAATCTACAAAAAAGTCCCAAACTTTTACGAAAAGTTTCAAAAAAGTCCTAATTTGTTTTTTTTTTTAACAGAAAAGTCTCATTATTTTGAGAAAACCATATAATCTGTTATTTCCTGTTCAAATATAAAAAATGACTTTTTCGTTAATTTGGGCAAAATGTTAAATAATCGGGATTTTCTGTTAAATTTTTTTTTTTAGGATTTTATTGAATCTTTTCCCAAAAGTTTGGGACTTTTCTGTAGATTTCCCCATAAGATTATAACAAAAGATATAGTTTCTAGGTATTTTTAGAAGGGTTTTATGCAGAAAAGTCTCATTATTTTGGGAAAGTTTTCAATAAAGTCCTAAATCTTTTTTTCTTAACAGAAAAGTCTCATTATTTTGTGAAAATCACATAATCTGTCATTTCCTGTTTTTTTTTTTTTTTTTAAAAAAAAGATTTTTTCGTTAATTTAGGCAAAATGCTAAATGATCAGGACTTTTTTGTTAAAAACAATTTAGGACTTTATCAAAAATTTTCCCAAAATAATAGGACTTTTCTGCATAAAAGCCTTTTTAGAAAAAAAAAAAAAAAAAAAAAAAAAAAGTATTGAAATTTAATTTAAATCGTGAATTTTTTATAGCATCCTAATTTGATTTCTTTATATGTTGGTGAAGATTTAAGATCTTAATGAAGACAATTATAAAATGGGTTTAAGAAAAAAGATTCAAAGTACAATTCTTATAATAACAAAAAGGGTTAATCTCAAAAAAGACCTTATATTTTGTGTTTTTTCTGAATTAAACCTCAAATTTATATTTTGTCTGAAAAAGACCTTGCATTTTTTCATTTTTTCCGATCTAACCCTTTGTCATTTTTTTTTCCAAAAAAAACTTGTAAAATGTGAGGCTTTTTTCAAGAAAAACTAAAAAAGCTGAGGGTTTATTCTGAAACATTTAGAAGGTTGAGGGTCTTTTTCGGAAAAAAAAAATACAAAGTTGAGGGCTTTTCTCAAAAAAATGAAAAAATACAAAGTCTTTTTCAGGCAAAAAAATAAATTGTGAAGAGATGAACAAAAGGGCATGAATTAGATGCCAAGGGCAAAATCGTCCACCTGATAAAATTTGAACGATGTTCTTGAGTAGCATCAGGTCTAGGTTTAGAAATTCCTTGAGGAATATATGCTTCATAGATTGAATTTGCAGATGCATTTCCTCCAACTTCAATCATGGCATCAATTTCAGCATCACTCCATGAATCTAATGTCACTGATAAAACCTGTCAAATTCAGATTATTATCATTAAAATTAGGTTCAAGAATGTATTTAATTTATTTATTTGGAGAGGGGTAACCTTGGAAATATGAACACCAAGACTTCTGTGAACACCACAACATTTTAAGCATATGAACACTCCTATATTAGCCGACCTGAAAGTCATGATGAAATATTTTCATATGATTATACATGAAAAAAAAATGTAGAAAACTGTTTATGTATAAAAAAAAGAAGGGATAAATGAAAGAAATAGTAATTGAATTTCGTCTTTTTGTTTATTTGAGCATCCTACTTTATTTTAATTTTTATTACAACATTGTATTGTTGGTTTTTTTTCTTATTAAGGTATTGAAATTTGAAAATCTAGAGAAAGAAAAATAAATTAGTAGGCTATGTTCTTTATTTATTTGATACAATTCCATGAAAGAAGATTTATTTTTCTTCATAAATTATAATCCAACCATTTCCAATATTGTTCAAGTGTTTGTGAATTTGAAAATATAATGAGGTCCTTGAGTTTTGTGCAAGAATATAATAATGAAAGAGAAAATGTATATAGTTATTTGGTATTATATAATATATAAAACACAATTATATGTATATAGCAGTCCTTTTAAAGTTAGAAAATATGTCAAGCATATAAACATGCTACATATAGAATCAAATTTGAATATTTTACGGACTTTAAAATAAATGAACAGATATTAGATGAGAAAGAGTGATATATAACTTTATGTGCATAAAGTAGATGACATGTAATCATTAACAAAGTAATAATAACATTGTGTTCTCTAATTTTCTTTTGGAGGAAAAGAGCTGGAAAAGAAATAAAGGAAAAAAGGAAAAGAAAGGAAACTAATTATTTTATTCATGTTCTAGAGTTGGAAAGAAAGAGAAGAAAAGCTGACAGTTTTTAGTGTTCTTGAATTAAGGGAAGGAAAGAAAAGTTTAAAAGTTTTATCATTTTGCTTTTACCAAGTAAATATTTGAAATTTTGAATATTATAAGGAGGTAAAATAAGATGGACATTTTTGTCATTATAAAATTTCTAATGTAAATATGAGGAGTGTAAATTGAGGAAAATAGATAGGGTTAATTGCAAGAAACAGCAACTTATTTCCATTTATTTGTTTATTATAGAGCATCATATTTTTATTTCTTTGTGTTACAACATTGAATTTGATTATATTTTTCTTATTAAAGCATTGAACATTGAAATATAAACTCAATTATAGCTATAATAAACAAACAAATAGAAGTACATTACTATTTCTTACATTTAAATTAACTCTAATAGTTATAAAATTAAAAAAAAAAAAAAAAAAACTCACGCCCACTTAGGATCAGGTGCACCACAATCAGCACATGTTCGATTATCACGTTGCTGCAATAGATCTTTTAATCTTCTGTTGCCTACATTATCAAAAAGAGTTATATAATCTAATAAATCAGCCATTAAAACAACTGTTAATATTCAAGAAGCTAAATATACATGAATAGGACTCAGACTCTTAAGTCAATGGGACAAAAGTTGCAAGTATTTAGAAGGTGGGAAAGAGACTTGTTTCTTGATCTCTTGTGCGTGAAAAAGACATCAATGCCCTCCTCGTCTACATAAGATTACTTGAATGCCCTTTTATTTTACATTCATAAGATATAACAATTGTACTTTTTATGGTGTAGTAATCCAATTTTCCCCAAAAGTTAGTAGTCAATATAAACTTTATTGTATCTTATATCTTATATATAATAACACATAGCAAGTAAGGACATTAACAGATGATTCCATACTAAAAGAGCAATCTACAGAAGGAGCGAAATCTAGAAATGGTTTATGGTTTTCTTCCGATTTTTGGGGAAATTGGAATTCCTTAGTTTATCATTTTATACTACAATTTTTGGACAATTCAATTGATAACAGGGCGTAAAAAATCAAAATGCTCAATCGAGTATATGAATCATACCAGAAGGTGTTTTCCCAAGTGCAGACGAATGGTGACTCATCCTTTTGCCTACAGAATACAGACCACAATCACCAAACAGAACTTTTAATTCTCTAACTATGCAGCTCTACACCACACCAAAATCCAGAAAAAGTTCAAAAGCAATATCAGATTTAATCAATCCACAACGGATTCTCAAAGTCGCGCCTTCTTTCTCCAAATCCAACTCGATCGAACTAGTTTGTAGTTGAAATTGAACAAAACTTGAATCCTTCAAAGTCGAAGAGTTTAGAGTTGCAATCACGGATATAGGCGAAAGTTAATTAAGATTTGACGAAGTATAATCAAATTGATGTCAACGAAATGGACCAGAAATCGCGATGAAGGATCCAAAGGTTTGAACTTTTACCTGATGGGTATTGTGAATTGAGCGTGTCTGTTAACGTTTGCGTTGGAATGGAAGGTAAGAGGGATGTGATGAGAACGTGCTCCGTGACCAGTTGGGTCACGAAGGGGGCGGTGTAAATGGATGTGTTATTTAATGCTTTCATACACGAGTCGCAACAACGATAATGAAGTCAAATATGTTCTTGTCAAAACCGAACTTTTTTTTTTTTTTGGAAAGATGTTTGCAACCTTCTTGTCTTTTACAATGAATCTATTTAAATATATATCGATAATAATAATAATAATAAACAAATATATTTGAATATCAAAAAAAAATGTTCTAAAAAATAACTAATATTTTAGTTAAATTATTGCGATCGACATCTATAAAGTTGATAGACCATCTCCAAAATCATCTCGTCTTGATGAAATTCGCAGATTTTTTTTTTCGCAAATGGCATTTGTGAAAATAGTAGGTTTCAAAGATTAGACATATAAAAAGGTTAATGACTTAAAAATTTTGTTTTGTATTTAAATTCAGCCAATAATGTTTTTTTTGTATACATGTTATTATTGAAATTACGTAGCATGTTAAAATAAAATATAAAATTGCCGATCGTTATAAGCAATAATACATTTTTTTAACATGTGAAACAAGTTCATGGTCAAATATCTAAAAAAAATTCTTACCTAAATACAGGGCCGGTCCTAGACCAAATGGGGCCCGGGGCCAAAAACAAAATTGGGGCTCTCATATTGTTTTTTTTTCTTAAAATAAGAGGGCAGCACCTCCGGAAATTTTATTAATTAAAAAAAATAATACAATTGAAGGCTAGGGATTTCCCACCTATAGAAAGAAAAGACTTCGAGACAGACCCCGTAAGCCAAACAACCTATCAACTATTAATACAAAACAATAAAATACAAAACAATAAAATAAAAAAGCCAAAACATGCTCTAAACCCTAATACATAAACATATCAAAGAAAAACTAAAGAAATATTAACATTAAATAACTGAAATTAAGCAAAT